ACTATCGTGTGTGTGTGTGTGTGTGTGTGTGTGTGTGTGTGTGTGTGTGTGTGTGTGCACGCGCACGCGCGTGTGTGTGTATGTGTGCTCCCGCGGTTATCGCCGCACGCGTGTGGACGCACGCCGTCGCGAGAACGGTCCGTATCGCATCCGAAGACGAACGTCGTCGATTCCGCCGTCCGTCAACGATTCCGACGACGGTCCCGTCAATATCGGCGAGGATAGAGAAGTGCGAAACGCATGTCAGGCGTGCAGAGACGCGCTCATGATGAATTGATACAATAACCGTACGAGACCAAGACGAAGAGATCATTTTCCGCATAAACACTCTTTTACCGAAATATCTAGAAATTTTATCATGGATCTGAAAATAATTTTGTCGGGTCTCTTAAATATTTATGTAGCATATTTAAATTGTTTGCTAGAATATGAAAAATTTTACACCGTTATCATCATATTTAAACGTTTTATGTAGTAGTTTTAAATATTTCGAATATTAAATATTTGTTAAATTATTTTCAGATCTATAGCTGGCTAAATTTTTAAATACTTCGGCAAAACCGAGGTCTTTCCATGTATCATTAACGCAAAAAAATCCGCTTTTGTCGAATAGAATTCACGTTGAGGGTACATCGATTTTATTTTGTTTATTGCAAAAATAACATTTTTAAAATATTTGTTTATTTGAACAAAATTTGTGGAAAACGTGATTTAAAGATGAAGGGAGATAAAAATATAACGTTTCATATAAAAGATTGAGAGATATGATACGCGCTTTGTGTTGGTCTCCTCCTAATAACTATCGCGTTGTAAACGTCGCGGATATCGTACCCTGATTCGAGGACATGAAATTCCGGTTGTACGTTACGGGAAGAACATGACGTTTCTATCATTGACTTACACGCGCATACACATACACATACGTACACGCATACAATAACGATATCGAATCTGCGACAATAGTTCTTGTTAGACGTCGTAGGGAGGAGAACCACTCGGAATCGTATTCCGTGATGAATACATCTTGCGCAGATCCGGAGACATATCGTCATTAGAATCGTATTATTCGGATCACAAATGAAGAAGAATATTTTTCATCGATTCTAATAAAATTTAACATAATTTTAGAGGGATTTAAAAGAAATAATCCGTTCGATGTTTTATACCTCGATGAATCTCTAAAGATAGAGAATTATAGAATAAAATGAAATGAAAAAAATATGCATTTTTTTCTCGCATGAATCAAGCGATTTTTTTATTCTTCAGGCAATACGTCAAACAATAGTGTAACAAGAAGTCTACAGCCTCGGCGGAAATATTTCCCCGATATTAATTATTCTCTGCTAGAGATAGCAGTGCGCGAAAAACCGTAATGTTTTTTGAGCGTGATGAAAAAAAAATTTCTGGCAGGTCAATCCGAAATAGTCAGACAGCTTTAGCAAGTCGGTAGACCGAGCTGCTCGATGGCTGTCCGATGGTTGAGCCAAATTGAAAATTTCACGCCTGATACACCCGCCCGTGATCCGAAGAGGTTTCATCGGCAGATGCTGAGGATTTTGCATAACCCTTTGCTCCCGCAGACTTGAAATACGAGAGAAAATATTGCTGGAACCGTGTGCACGTTCAGGGATTTATTATTGATATTTCTCAGCTTCTGAATTCTGAGAAGTCGAACGGTATTCCGCTCGGTCTGACGCGCCGCAGAGTGGAAGTGGAATAAATCGCGAAGTCGAGAGAAGCATTTCTTCATCGCGATAGTGATGAGAGGGAAAAGATCTTTTTATTCAGATGCGCAGCATCCTCGAAACTATACACTGAAATTCCTGCGGTTTTAATCTCTTTGTATGTATATGTATTGCATCCCGCAGAAACCGCCACTTTACTCGGGCCGTAAAATCGAAAACTCGCGTCAGAAAAAATCGTGACTGTTTCAACATTAACAATCAATCGATAAATATAAATATTATAAGTAAATAAAAATTTATGGATTTATGGATTTTGACAAGTTATGCTTCGTATAATGAATTTAGTCTTTTCAATTTTTTCCGATTATAAAAGAATATTTTTATTTGTTTCGATGTGCTTAATATATTCATTAAAAATCCCGAGACAGATCTTTTTATTAAATTTTTACACAAATCTTTTCTAATTTGATAAAAAATTCCATAGCTAAGAAAAAGCATGAAATGTTCGAGACACACGTGTATGATTAAATTCTGTGTATGTGTGTCTTATTTTTGCTCACAGGTGGAAGATTTGTGGTTACCTCGCAGGGTGATCTCCATATCAGAGCCGCCAGACCAGAAGACGGCAGAGCGACGTATTCGTGTTTAACTTTGCACGCCTTGACCAGCGAGCGAAGAAAAAGCGAACCCGCCACTTTAACAGTCACGGGTAACCGCCAGAACCGGATAAATCCCCTAACCCCCTTTACGAGATAAATATAAAATCAAGATCCAGATTAAAATTGAATTCATTTCCGTGGAATTCCACTTTATAATAACCAAGAAGATTATCCCTTGCCACTCGTTCATCTCCTTTAGATTTATTATCTCCGTTTTATTTGTAGAACCAACCGGTTCCTCGCCGCCGCGATTGATGCAACGGTCTGAAATCGCTATTTCCGCCGAAAGCGGCTCCGATGTTCATCTCACGTGCTCCGCGCAAGGAAGCCCGCCGCCGCAATTTACCTGGTATCGCGATGTTAATGGTTGGTTTAATTAGGGGAATGTTTACCGAATAAGCTATGTTAACGGTAGCGCCGAACAAACTGCTAGCTGTGTTCAAACATCGATTTTTCGATACCGTATTATGTTTAAACAGTGTCGTCACACAATGGATATTATATCGCGAAAAAAAAACAAAACGAAGAAAACTACTTAATAGGCATACCTCTTTTACATTGAAAGGCGCTATCGCGACCATTAGTTGTAGAAAGAAAGGATAATTTCTTGTCTTATCGGGAAAAAAAAATAAAAATAAAAAAAATGAAAGAATTTTCTTGCGAGAATTTTCCTTCGAAATGCTGTCGGTATTTAAGATGAATTTAACTTAGCACCGAGCATATAAGATAATTTTGTAGACCGAATAATATAAAATGAATGTCCCGTTGCAGGCCACTCGATACCGGTCGAGTCGGGTGGCCGTATCCAGCTTTGGGGTGACCTGATGCAAATTCGTCGCGTAGACGCGCAGGACGCAGGAAGATACGTCTGCCGGGCCAGCAATCAGCTTGGCGAGCAACGAGCGGAGACGCACTTGTCAGTCACATCAAAGCTAAACGCTCGGATTCAGCCGCGCGTACAGGTACGAGCTTGAGTCATGCAGATGGATAATTTCTCTCTTAAATGCACGGGATTTTATATTAACAGATTAAACGGATAGTAATATAATTTAAATGATAAAAGGTATTGCATCTCACCGTGAGAGATTTCATTTGAAATTTAGAAATGAAGTGACGTAAGAGAAAAAGAACTTGTTGTATCGTGAAAACGGATTATTGGACTGGAATATTGAGATAGATATATCGCTATTTGGCAAAAGTTATTTATCCGATATACCGGAGGAGAGTAATTAATACAAATCAAGTATTAAATCCACTTAAAAACCAGTGTTCTACTTTTGTCATATCGTAATGGAAAATTAAATTAAATTGTATATGTGTGGTTACATTAGTTATATTTACGATAATTGCCTCTACGATAATTAATTAATAATTCTCTCTCTCTCTC